CTGGACTTCATCCCTGGTCATTGGTAATCTTGGATGTTGTTAAGGCAATGCTCATCAAGCTTTAATGTGCATAGGACTCACTTGGAGCAAACTTTAGAATGAAAATTCTGATTCAGTTGGTGTGGGCTCTGAAATTCTGCATTTCTAATGTTGAAAAAAAAAAAAGCCACAGGCCCAAAATGGCATCACTCATGCTAACAGCCCATGATACCAAACCTAAATTTCATACCTGAAATTGCAGTTTCCATCTCTCCCAGAACCATAACCTTAATTAATCAGTCTGGAATTTTCTGATCAAGCACCAGTAAGGTCATTTGACATCCAGGCCCTCTCCAACTGCCCCATAGAAAGAAGAGGCAATCTATATGATAAAAACTCTTCCCCTTCTCTTTCCTGAAAAGATATCCTGGTTTCTTTTCTTTCAGTATAGCTCCCCTGCCCCTTTCTGCTCCCTATAAAAACCTTCCAAATTTACAACCCCTCAGAGTACCCTTCCAGTTGTTAGACGGTATGCTGATCAATGCATATATCACTTAATAAAGCCAATTAGATCTTCAGATTTACTCTGTCAAATTTTTTTTAACACAAAATTTCAGTTGATGAAGATGCTCCTAGTCCATGAACCACAATTTGGGTAGTAAGACTGTAATGAACATGTGCTGCCTTCTCAACATCTATCCCCTTCTTTTTCCAACAGTTTCTAATAATCTGGTGATTCATATGGTCCTAAGAAAGCTGACTCTAACTTTAGGTTAATAATCACATTCCATTACTTGTCCACATTGGACTTGGGATGTAATCTGATCCAATCAGAACTTTGTAGGAGCTCATTTTGGACATGAATGGAGAGGTAGTTATTGGAAACTCCCTCAGAAACAAGAGAACCAGTTTTGTTTTGTTTTTATTAGTTTCAGGTGTACAAAACAATGCAATAGTTATACTTTTCACCCCTCACAAAGTGACTATCCCCTTCTCCCCTTCAACCCTCCCCCACCCCCGTATCATACATATCTATTACAATTCCATTGACTCCACTCCCCACACTGTACTCCACATCCTGTGACTATATATATATATTAAATTATAGTTGACATACAGTGTTATTCAATGGAAGCTTCAGATGTACAGTGCAATGGTCAGGTCTCTACACCGTCCATGAAGTGGTCTCTCTAACAAGACATGAGTCCATCTGAGCCCCTAAAAAATATTTGCAACATATTGATTATATTCCCCAAACTGTCTTTCATATCCCTGTGTCAATATTTTAGTTACCTATTTATGTAGCCTCATCCTTCCCCCTTCTTTCTCATCCCCACCCCTCTCCCATCTAGCAACCATCAGTTTTTCCTCTACGTCTCTGAGACTATTTCTGTTTACATTGCTTATTTATTCAGTTCTTTAGATTCCACATATAAGTGAGATCATACAGTATCTGTCTTCCTCCGACTGATTTATTTCACTTAGCATAATGTTCTCTAGGTCCATCCATATCATTGCAAATGGTACGATTTCATTCTTCTTTATAGCTGAGTAATACTCCATTGTATAACTGTACCACAGTTTCTTAATCCAGTCGTCTACCGATGGGCATTTAGGTTGTTTCCAAGTCTTGGCTATTGTAAATAGCGCTGCAGTGAACATAGGGGTGCATATATTTTGAGAAGAACCAGTTTTAAGAGAGAGTTAAAAAAACAAAAAACAAAACCCATCTGATATTAATGAGCCCCTGGACTAAAAACAATGCCTAAGCGAGGCTATTTAAATTAAAATTAAATAAAATTAAAAATTCAGTTCCTCAGTTACAACAATCACATTTCAAGTGCTCAATAGTCATATGTGGCTATGGCTACCTTTTTGGACACTGCTGATATAGAACATTTCCATCATCAAAGGAAGTTTGATTAGACATCGCTGCTCTATTACCATATTTACTTCCTTATTTGCATTTATCTGTTATTTGTTTACTTATCTATTGACTGACATGAGAATGGAAACTGTCTGAAGGCAGGGATTTGCATCTGTTCTGTTCACTTCTGCATCCCCAGCATCTAGAACAGTGCCTTGCATGCAATGTGCCCTCAAACATTTGTGAAATAAGTGAATCTCTCCCCCATTAGAATGCATGCTGTATGAAGAAGGGGAACTTGTGTGTACTGTTCACTGCAGTATCCCTAGTACTGAGCACAAGGTACTACTCCCTATTGTCCTCAAGGATCTTCCTACTTTGAGCTCTGCCTACTTTTTAATCCCTTTTCTCCTCAACAGTATTAGAATATTTGAGTTCCTGGAACTCATCAAGCTTACTCTCCTCTCCAGACCTTTGTACATTCAGTTCTTTAATCTGGCTAACACCTACTTATCCCCTCTTAAGTATGTGGGGCCAGCATTATTATTTGTATGTTAGTGGTGGGTTTCCCAAAAGATGGCAAATTGAAATGTCATTGTCAGTTGATTTATACCAAATTGTTTTTAAATTTTTCCTTGTTTTTATTTTCTACCTTAAACTTTTTTAGAATTTTTACTCTCTCACCTCATAAAGCAGTCAAGAGTCCTGAAATAAAGTCAACAAAAGTGGAGCAACAAAGAAAAAGCCTTTATTTGCTGCTAGCAGGAGAGTTAGTCTACACGTGAGACTACCCTGTCTTCTGGGAGTTAGCAGAGGTTTTATATGTTACAGGCATTTATTGTAGATTGGTCCCAAGAAAGAAAAACAAGGAAATGGGAATGTGATGTGTGTGGTAATGCAAGTATTCCATTGTTAGTTTTTAGAAGTAGATGTCCTAATGATAAGCAAGTATAGAAAAGTACATTCTACAGAGTGGAGTCAGGAAGGAAAACAACTTAAGCAAGTCCAGGAGATTACATTCACAATTTTGAGTTTAGCAACAGAATTTGTGTAGAGATTGTGGAAATGAGCTTCACAATTTACAGAATTACGTTAATCACCAAGATGAATCATCTAGGCCACAGTATTTGTATTTAGCATGTGCACATGGCAAAAGGTGTACCAATCAGAGCTCTCCCCTAGGACTTTCTCAGGAGTTCTTAGGAATGGAGACCTCTCTTTTTACTGGGGTCAGGTCGCTGTGATCTTGTATAATTTTTGAAAGCTCATTCAAGCAAAATAATTTATTCAGCTGATCATGATTTGTCACGCTTGCGACTGGAGATGCTACAAACTAGACAGAAAATGCAATGCAGAGAACGGGGAGGAGGACAGACAGCGCAGTCTGACCCCCGCATCCTCATTGACTTCAGTCTTTTATTAGAGATAAAAGAGGAACAGGTGGTAGAAAATGACAAGCACGTCCCTAAGGTTAAGGGAGACACGCTTAGTCTACGAGTCGTTTTTTTAGCTCAAGAGGAACAAAACAGTTTCAAGGACTTTGGCTGAGCACACACTGTTTTCAGTGTGGTAGGCATCCAACCTCTCTCAGTTAACCCTTAGTTGACGGCTGAGCTTTTGCTCAAGGCAGAAACCTTACAATCTTGGTTTTGGGGCTTATGAGAGAGAATCCCTAACATGTCCTACAATGACTATTTTTTAGTAGACAATCAAGTCAAATGAACAAAATTCTAAAGTTTACAGACAGACAGCTCTAAAAAAAACTAGTGATGGAAGGAAAAACAAATTTTTGTGAAGCATGGTATTACAGAATAATTAAGATTTAATCAAACTACAGACTGAGATCTCTGGCTCTAATGAATCAAAAGTGAAAAATATCTTTTAAAATGATAAAGAATAACACTGGAGAAAGAACCTACTTTTCCCCATAAAAACAAAATATTTTTTAAAATTTATTTTAATTGCGATAAAACTGACATATAAAATTGCATAACTTTAAGATGTACAACATGTTGGGCCGGCCATGTGGTGCGTTAGTTAAGAGTTGGCTTGGGACCCAGCTCTGAGTAGCAGGGCCCTGGTTCAGATTCCACATGAGGGCCAGTGATGCTGCGCCCTCTATGGCTAAGATGGTGAACAACAGCTCGACCTGGAGCTGGGCTGCCATGAGTCACCAGTGATGGCACAGGCTGCAGACCCTGCTGCATTGGGCTGCTGTGAGCTACCGTGAGTGGCCGGCAGCCAATGTGAGCGGCCGGCAGCCAGTGTGAGCTGTCTTGAGCCGCTGTGAGCGGCTGTCCAATGGCTGGCAAGCTACTGCCTCACCCAGGAAGAGTGCAATGATAATACCAACATGGGCCAGTGAAGCGACGTCCTCCACAACTAGACTGAAGAACAAAAGGACAGCAACTTGTCTGTTCCCTTTCCCCGATTCCCCAACGCTGTTCCCCTCCCCCAATTCCCCAATAAAAGCTTAAAAAAAAAGTACATGTTGATTTGATACATTTATGTATTGCAATATGATTACCACGGTAACCAACACCCTCTATCACCTCACAAAATTATTTCTTTTTTGTGGTGGGAACAATTAAAAGCTAGTTTTTTAGCAACTTTGAAGTTTATAATTCAGTATTGTAAAAGCAAACTACTTTATGCTTTCACAGCATGTTTAAGAAACATGCTTTAGAAAAGAAAATCTAGAACAAATTACAGACATGACTTAATACATTAAATATGATTTACTTATGTATCAAAAATAAGTACACATGATTTCATATAGTCTGACATTTGTAAAGATTCCTATGCTCCTGATTGTGGCCAATACAAGTAATGTGGAATAGGTCACTCAGAAGCAGAGACCTATTTTGTGGTAATGGAAACTTATAAATATGGTTTGTGTATTTGTATGTCAGAATTTGAGTTCCTAAAGATAAAGTGGTTTACACACAAAAAGAAATTCTACCAGCTGTCTGACAATCTAAAGGTAAAGGCAAATGAAGGTCAGATACTCTGGTAGATAACCAACTTTAACTAGGATGGCAGTCTACTCCTGAGTTTGTTCTCCCAATTTAAGCCATTTGGCATATGCCATTAAGGTATATATATATATATATATATATATATATATATATATATATATATATATATATATATATATATATATATGACTGGGGATGGGAGTGGGGGCAGTAGGCAGGTTTTTTGCCAATTAACACAATGGTGATGTGGGCAATAGCCTCACCCAACAGAACCAACCTCGTTTTGGTTTTTATACCATAAACTGCAGACTAAACTAACAGCTCAATAGTTTTGTGGAAGATGTATTGTCAAAAAAAAAGGTTTGACAAACTTAGAGCACATTTTGGTCTTACATACTTGGTTTCAAAAGAAGTCAGGGCCGGCCAAGTGGGGCGTTGGTTAAGAGTTGGCTTGGGACGCCAGCTCTGAGCAGCAGGGCTCCGGTTCGGATCCCACATGGGTGCCAGTGCCACTGCCCTTTACAGCTAAGATGGTGAACAACAGCTCGACCTGGAGCTGGGCAGCCGTGAGTTGCCGGCGATGGCGTAGGCTGCAGTGAAGCTACAGTGGGCTGCCATAAGCTACCGTGTGTGGCTGGCAGCCAGCGTGAGCGGCTGGCAGCCGGTGTGAGCTGCCAATAGCCACCGTGAGCGGCCATCCAGAGGCCGGTGACCGATCTGCCTCACCCGGGAAGAGTGCCAGTGAAACCACATCCTCCACAACTAGACTGAAGAACAAAACGACAGCAACTTGTCTGTTCCCCTTCTCCCAATTCCCCAGCGCTGTTCCTCTCCCCAAAGTCCCCAATTAAAAAAAATGTATATATATACATTTTTAAAAGATTTTTGGGGAAAATGGGAAGAGGAACACACAAGTCGCTATTCTTTTGTTCTTCAGTCTAGTTGTGGAGGACATCGCTTCACTGGCCCATGTTGGTATCATCATTGTGCTCTTCCCAGGTGAGGCAGTCGGTCACCGGCCTCTGGACGGCTGCTCACGGCAGCACTTGGCAGCTGATGCCGGCTGCCAGCTACTCACAGTAGCTTATGGCAGCCCGATGTAGCCTACACCGTTGCCGGCGACTCACGGCAGCCCAGCTCCAGGTTGAGCTGTTGTTCACCATCTTATCTGTAGAGGGCAGTATCACCGGCCCTCACATGAGGGGTCCAAACCGGGGCCCTGCTGCTCAGAGCTGGCATCCCAAGTCAGCTCTTAACCAACGCGCCACTCGGCTGGCACCCCAATAAAATCTTTAAAAAAAAAGTCAGGAAGGGAAGGGAGAACCCACCTAATGACCACCTCTCTTAAGATTCTGAAAAGCAAGATTCCGTAATTTTCTCCATCCTCACAGTTCTGCAAATAAGGAGAGTGGCATAGAAAGGGTTCACAAACAGTGTGGGAACCACGAATCCACAAATCTCTGGAGTCTGTGGAGGCTTTGAAGAGCCAAAGCTTTGTTTGAATATCCGCCATGACTAAACCTAGTGGAATATTCTACAATTTCTTGTAGACTCTTGTGCTCTCGTTTACAAGGAATAGAGTGCAAGCAGAAGGAGAAGCCCTGGAGTTCTGGAGGCGTTGGAGTGCAGTTCAGGGGAACGAGAGAGAAAGGTCAATTGCCTCCCATTTTCTTTACATTGGTCCATTTAGAAGATTTAAGGTATTTGAATTAGAGGTTGCAGAGAAGAGTACCTGCTATCGGCAGTGGAACCTGCGGCCACAGATTTCCAAGACAAACCACTACCACTGGGGGCGTGGGTGGCTGTATTCCGAGAGACCACCCCGGGAAGGGCAAGCGGGCGCCGCCAGGGGGCGCCGCCGCTTCCCTGCGAGGCGCCCACCCGCGGTGCGCGCACGCGAGGCCTCCCACCGCGCCTGCGCCTAGGATGGACGCAGGCTCGCTTTTCCCCGACGCCCCGCCAACCCCGCAGGGGTGAAAAACTGCGTGACACGCAGCGAGCGTGGCGGCCATCTTCGTCTTCAGGGCACGTCAGCTGAGCCCGTTGGGGGCCGAAGAAGAGCGTTGCGCAAGCGCGCCCAAGACGGTCACAGGTAACTCCCATCTGACGGGCGAGGCGTCGCCGTCGTCGCCGGAAGTTTGTCGTTTCTGCGTCGCGGGGGAGGCGGCGGTCGCGGCAGAAGCTGCGGAGTGTCCTCTGATACCCGGATGTGAGGCGGTCTGCCGGCTTGCGTTGGACTCTTGGCCAGGAGTGAGGAAGGTACGGGAGCGTCCGGACCGTCCCCGCCGCCTGCTGTCGCGCCTCTTGCGTCCTCATCTCCCTTTTGCCAGCCCTTCTGGAGAGCCAGACGATTCTCCCCCTTCCTGTCCCACCCTTGTGTCGTGTTGCCTCGCACTCTTCTTATTCCTACGGTCCAGGCTCCTGGCACCCCTGGGAGGTAGTGGGCGGCTCCGAGACGCCGTATCTTGAGGTAAGCAAACAACCTGCGGGACTCGGCTGCCCAGTCGCCGCATCACCTGCGGCTGCTTGCTGGGCGGTCAGCGGGAATAAGGGGCCGTGACCGAGGACCGGGTCAAGCTGGGGTGTCTAGGCGGCCGCGAGGGCGCCAGAACCCCGAGGTGGAGTGCAGCGATTGCGACTACTGGGGGGCGTCGGCGCTGGCTCGCAGGTAGCCTGGGCCTTGTTCTCACCCCCGCCGGCTTGCTTTCGCGGCGTTTTCCCCAAGCCATCGCAGAACTGCGGTTCCTACGGCTGGCTGCCCTGCCCCCACCGCCATCCGCTGACCCAGCCTGAACCATGAGGCCTCTGCAGTCTGCGGGGCGGGATGTGGGGATCTTGGTTTCACGGTTTTTAGCCTGGGAGGGGAGCGGTGGCCCGGGTCCAAGGTCATAGAGTAATTCGGGTTGGACATGAGAGTCAGGCACAGGTAGAGCTGCTTTGGAGTAGAAATAGGTGCAATGAGGGCCATAGTGAAGTTTATAGAGATAGATGCGAGCAGAAGGGAATTGGGTCCTCGATTTTTATCACTATTGGTAAGATGATTTGACAACGAGGGTTTGTTTTACTCCGGCGGAGTGGGATTGCAAGTCCAAATTACAGAACTGTCCCCCCCCCCCCAACCTCCTTCTCCTCCACCCTTCACTTCCTACCCCCTTAGCCTCCACCTCTAAACGTTGACTTCACAAAACCCAGCACTTAGAGTATTTTCCGGGAGAGGAGGGCACAGCAGGAGAGAAGGAAGGAGTTAAATCGTTGAGATTTGAGAAGTACTTGTTTTTAGTAGTCTTTAGATAGCTGAAAGGGGATTCTAAAGCAAGAAGTAATTGCAGCACAGTATTTAAATAATATTCTCAAATGATATTTCAATAAGTAACTGGCTTTTGCAGAAACCGATAAAAGAATGCTACTTAGTGGAATAGGATATGGGTGGGTTGTTTCCCCATCTGAACATTAATTTTTTTTAAATGGTTAAAACACGATTTCAGTTTAAAACATTCTGGATGCAGTGAACTTTGCTGTATTTACGCACACTTTTTTTCTGATTAGGGCCTTAGTTTCTGCTTTACACAGGACACCAACACCAGTGGAGCTTTTTTAAATTTGAAAAACTTGAAAATTCTCACCATGGAATTAGATATGAGAGTAGGATGAAAAGTGCCTAAACATGTTTAATTTGGAAGCTGCACATTCAGGCCTTAAGAGCATGTGAGCAAATAAGAAAAGTAACAGAGGGACTGGCTGAGTGGCTTGGTTGGTTAAAAGTGCAAGCTCTGAGCAACAGGGTCACCGGTTCGATTCCCACATGGGCCAGTGAGCTGCGACAGAGCTGAGCTGCCACTGAGCTGGTGAGAGCACAGCTCTTATCAGCAAGGCTGCCGGTTGGACACCCACATGGGATGGTGGGCTACGCCCGCCCACAACTAAGATAGAACATGACACCTTGAGCTGAGCTGCCGAGAGGCAGCTGGATGGTAATTGGACTTGGAGCTGAACTAGCTGCACCCTCCACAACTAAGATTGAAGGACAACAATTTGGCTGTTCTCCTTCCCCAATTCCCTAACACTGTTCCCCTTCCCCAGTTCCCCATTAAAAATCTTTAAAAAACAAAAAAAAAAAAAAGAAAAAACTAACAGATACTTCCTCCTTTTAGAGAGTATGTAATATATGCCCCTCAGGTCAGATATGTGACTTTGGAAGTACCCTTCTTAAAACAAAACTTGCCCTGGCTTATGAACTTCTGTCCACTTTAATCATTCCTGGCTGAGGAAAATATGCTGTCATTTCTCATTGATCAGCATTACAATTCTGTAGTGAATAATACTTTTTTTTTTTTTAGTTGAGCCATCCTGCCACCTGTTGGCAGCTCAGTGGCAGCTCAACTCAAGCCGAACAATACTTATTTAAACATCAGCCCCATACAAGGTTTGTGCTTGGCATTTAAATCGATGAATTATGCTTCCAGAAGAACTGAAAAAGGACCCTAATTAATGAATGAATGCCATTAACCCCCTTTGCTGGATGGCCCTTTATAGCTTGGTAATTCATTATAGCTTATTGTATTTGTTCTAATAGTGAAGGTGACTAGAATTGCATAATTCAAAATAATGGATTTTTTAAATAATTTTTTTGATGACTTTTATTAGCAGATTTACGTTCTACAGAATTTTTGAATAACTTTTCCTGAAGGTGATCAGTTTAGATGGTGGTTAGAAACCAACTCCAGTAAAATTGTTGCTATAGATAATTCACTTAAGGACTGTGTTGACCCTTTGAAGCCCAGACTGTTTTCGGTGCATCCTTTTTTTCTTGGTACAGTGGAAGCTCTTTGGCTGTATTTCTGCATAAGTTCGGTATTATATAACTGTAGTTACTTTTGGCAAACACATTATTCTGTTAACCCAGTCATTTTGTCTTCTTTTTTGAGGGGGTTATACCTTATGCATAATTGCGTGACAGTACGTCTGAAGAAAGCAAGATTTGTGTTCTCTGCTCTTCTTCAACTTACTTTAAACATTTATATGTGAGATTTACAGAGATAAAAACTCAGGGTGTGAATAAAAATGGGGTATTAAATATTACTTTAATGTAGTGGTTCTCAAACTTTTTGGTCAGGATCTCTTTACACTCTGAAAAACAAATAGCTTTTGTTTATATGGGTTATATCTATTGCTAGTTATTGTATTTGAAATTAGTTTACATATATTTATTAATTCATTAAAGACTAGTAAACTAATTACAGGTTAATATAAATAACGTTTTTCTATGAAAAACAACTGTTTTCCTAAACAAAAAAATTTTGTCAAAGAATGTTAAATGTTTTACATTTTTTTTTTTTAAACTGGGGAATTGGGGGGATGGGAACAGTGCTGGGGAATTGGGGGAAGGGGAACAGACAAGTTGCTGTCATTTTGTTCTTCAGTCTAGTTGTGGAGGACGTTGCTTCACTGGCCCAAGTTGGCACCATCATTGCTCTCTTCCCGGGCGAGGCAGATCAGTTGCCGGCTTCTGGACGGCCGCTTACTGCGGCTGCTGGCTGCTCACGCTGGCTGCTGGCTACATACAGTAGCCCATGGCAACCCGCTGCCACAGGGGCTGCAGCCTACGCCGTCGCCGGCAACTCACGGCAGCCCAGCTCCAGGTTGAGCTGTTGTTCAGCATCTTAGCTGTGGAGGGCAGTGTCACTGGCCCTCATATGTGGGATCCGAACCGGGGCCCTCTGGCGTCCCAAGCCAGTTCTTAACCATCGCGCCACTTGGCCGGCCCATGTTTTCTTTTTTATGTTCTTGTTTCATCAGAAATGTTATTGTATCAATAATATTAATTATCACAGCTAATTATTATTATAGCTAATAGTTAAGTGCCTATGCTGTGCCAGCAGCTATTGTAAGGACTTTATATTAGGAAATGTTTCTATTGTGTTGTCTTTAGTGATGATTAAGAGAAAGAAAATATAATTTATTTTTTTCCTGCAAATAGTATAGTCTTCCTGACATATATTATTCTTTATAACACAGATATAGTTTCATGGACTGAAGGCTTTTCCCTTAAGATCAGCAACAAGACAAGGATGTCTGTTCTTGCCACTTTTATTCAACTTTGTACTGGAGATTCTAGCCAGAATAATTGGGCTAGAAAAAGAAATAAAGGCATCCAGATTGGAAAGGAATAAAAAATGATTTCTATTTGCAGATGACATGATCTTATGTATGAGGTGTAATCACAAAATATGGTAAATGTTTAAAAAAAATTATTACAGTAAAAGACATATTGCCATTAATCCCCCTCAAAATACTCCCCTTCATATCGAACACACTTATCCCATCATTCTTGCCACTTTCTGAAACAGTTCTGGAAGTCCTCTTTCGTGAGTGTCTTTGCTTTATCCTCTATTATGACAACGCTCTGTGTCACACATTGCTTCTGGTATGGCAGTTTCTGTAAAAAACATTACGGTGTGTCCTTATCCACCTTATTCGCTGGATCTGGCACCATGTGACTTCTGGCTCGTCCCCAAAGTCTAAATGACCATGAAAGGAAAACGTTTTGAGTCGACTCAGGACATTGATGCATCAGAGACAGAGTAACTAAAGACACTCACAAAAGAGGACTTCCAGAACTGCTTCAGAAAGTGGCAAGAATGATGGGATAAGTGTGTTCGATGCGAAGGGGAGTGTTTTGAGGTGGATTAATGGCAATATGTCTTTTACTGTGATAATTTTTTTTATTTAAACATTCACTGTAGTCTTTGATCACACCTCGTCGTGTAGAAAATTCTGAGTCCACACTGAAAAACCATATTAGAACTAATGAATTCAGCAAGGTTATAGGGTACAAGGTTAAGGAACAAAAATCAGTTGTATTTCTGTATGCTAGTGATGAACCATCCAAAAAGGGAATTAAGAGAATTCCTTTTATAATAGAATCAAAACCAATAAAGTACAGCAGGTCCTTGATATCATTGTTTTGTTCAACGTTGTTTCTTTATAATGTTGATGGGGTGCCATAGAAACTTAACTCTTTGTTTATATCATCAATTAGCGTATACCTATGGTAAAATTGGTTTCATTATATGTTGTTTCACTTAACTTTGCAGAACCTATTGATGACTCTGAGTACTTTGGAATAAATTTAACAAAAAAAGTACAAGACTTATACACTAAAAATCATAAAACATTGCTTAAAAAATTAAACATGACCTAAATAAATGAAAAGATATCCATGTTCAACGATTGGAAGACTTATTAAGATGGTAGTATTCTGTGAATTGATATACAGAATCAGTACAATTCTGGTCAAAATCCTAGCTGGCTTTTTCGCAGAAATTGACAAGCTGATCC